CAAAAAGAAACTCTAATGGCATGTCCTACCTGCTTGTAGTATGCGAAAACTTCAAAACGACATTAGCATATGCAGTTTTCAATGTTGATTCAGACAAAAAATGTTTCAGAGCTCCGAAATGGAATGAGAAAAAGCTATTGTCGTTCTTCTCGAAGGGCGAGTTTTCTCGATTTTAGCATCCTTTAAGTGACCCTCTGTTCGAAAAACATCACACCTCTTGTCTAAAGAGATGAAGCCTTTGTTCACCGCTTGAAGGCGGTCGAATGCTGTGCGAAACAAGGCTTCATCTCTTTAGACAAGAGGCGTGATGTTTTTGAGCAGAGGGTCACGTTTTTGTGGGGCGAGTTATCTCGATTTTAGCATCCTTCCTGTATTTTTCATTTTTCACCATGAGGGAAAGATCCGGAAAGGTTGTAAAGGTGATTTTCAGATTCAGCTCGCTCTTCTCTATCCAACCATGTGTAAATATTGAGAAAATATAATAGTGTCGTAACTTTGAATTAGCAACGCCTTATGAACAGGATGTAGAATAGCCTAAAGAATCTGAATTCTGCAGTTTTGAAGTTGTTCTGATGTTTCCAAGTGAACTGTAAATCTTTTTATATTGGGTGAAAACAATCTGGAAAACTGAGTCTGTGTAGTACTCGATTTTCACTAGGTTTTCGAATTCTTTCCTCAAAACAAGCATCCCCACTAGATTTAGCGTGGTCCATTATGTATGGTCGAAGTGATTTCATGGCTAGGCTAAGTCACCAGATTCCAGTATTGATACTCCAATAAAATGCAGTGCCACGGTCGAACCACGGAAAATGAATGCGTCCCTAGACACCCATTTTAGGAAGGACATTTTGAGCTATCTACCTATGTGAAAAAAATCAAAATATTTACAGTTTAAGTTTTTGATCAATAGCTTGGTTGTCCAAAGATCCTCGGGAAAATCTACTTATAAGACAAAATGACTTTCATGGTGGAAAGATGCAATCAGCTCTTGGCTTTGAATTAGTAAAAATCGCCAGTCTCTATCATATTCTTGTCAGACGTTATTCAAAAGCATTCGAGTGCATTCTTTGTTTTGCAGACAGTGTGCTGAATCCATATGAAACCTACCACCGTTACATCGACCGTCGGCGCCAGTGATGAGACTTAGTTCAGGTAACGGGATCGGCCGATTGACCGGTAACCGATTCGTTCCAATTAAATTTTTCAATCGGCCGATATTCACTGATTATTTACCTTCGACTGACTTTTTGAAAAAAGTTTTTTCAGATGTTTTTCCCTCAAAAACAAGCACGAAAAATGTCGAAAAGATTTCTAGACAATCGATGGAACAGTTAAGTGATCAGTGTATTCTGATATTGAATCAAAAATAATTGAAGATGCATTTTATGTAAACCAGAACCATGTAGAATTGGATTCATGTGTGATTGATTTACAGAACCAAGTACAAATTAATAAGCAAGATAAACATAAACGACTGTCTGTTAAACGTGTGGCAAACGCAAAAAGAGAAGATTATCTTCAACAAGAACGATTCTGTTTACCACAACAACTAGGCGATATATTATTTAATGATAAATATGTCCTCGGCTTCGTTCGGCAATGGAGAAACAAAAGTGATGATCCGCGATGTGACGGTGACATTTTTGATATTGTGAAAAAAGCGGATGAAGATATAATGGTTGAAGGCAAAAACCTCAGAAAGTTACGCAATGCTGAATGGTTAGCAACCAAGTTAAGAGCAGTGAAAAATAAAGATGATACAATTACCAAATTGTTTATGGCCTGTAGAATGGTCGCCCAAGGTTCGACCCATGTGCTGTTGTTATTCATTGATACCTTCTACTTTCAAATTCGAAATGGTAGAGAAGTATTAAATTTAGCGTTGTGTTAGACAATCAGGTAACGGATTCCGGCAAAATTCACAGATTTGTCAGCAATTTCTTTATCAAAAACGTCTCCTTTTCCTTCAGGATCTCGTAAGATAGTCTTTTTTGCATGAATCTCAACACGTCCTAAACAGAATACCTTTCATAAACTAGATTTCATAAGCGCAGTCCAGAATCGTAGATTCAAACATATTTTGAAATGGATGATAAGAAACTGAAAGAAAGCATATTTACTGTTGTATGGAATGGTAATAGGGATGATACAACAGCAACAACAAATTATGATGATTCAACTTTGATATGGCTTCATAATACGGAAAGCTAAGTTCAATATGGTAAGAGACAGCAACTCGTTTAAGTCAAATAATTCATCATTTAGAGTCATTTGAAACTATTGATTGATGTATCAGATATATTATCTATCGAATTTTAAAATATATTTCTGATGGCACATTTGACAATGAAATCGGCCTTTATCAGATGCATTAAACGACAACGTATTAATTTACGTATTGAGACCTAAATACAAACAATGGACAAAAGGTATTTCGAATCTTCATGGTCTTTGTCATAATAGTAATACTCTGATTAACACAATACCTAGAGACTCTTCAGTTTATTTGAAAGAATATCCCTACGAAAAATTTAGGCGTAAATGTGACAAAAAGAATCATTGATTTACGCGCCTTTATACGGTATTACTCTGGCATGAAATATGGTACATGGGGGGTCGCAATAGGCATAACTTAGCACTTAATGGCGTCGCATTTCAACGATGAAAAGCGGTTTGTTTATCCTGTACAACTCGTCGCTTTTCATCATATACCTGATCTGCATTAAAAGCACTTCTGATATGCGCTTCTATGCGGTTGTTGAGATATGGCATCAATCCTGTTTAGTCGGTATATTTATACAATAGTATATGTGAATACTTTTATTTTCGCCCGGAAAAAAAGATTTAGTTGACATCCTGCACATCAAATGAAAGCTCTTTGCATATACTGTCTGATGATGTTGTTTTGTAAAGGTAGAAGTATGCTGTTCTCTGGATCAAGATATGAAGCAAGCAAAATACAAGAACTCTCCTGTTAGTGAGCAATCCACCCGTCTAATATAAACAATGAATAAACCACTATTCCATATTGTTCACTATATATGTCCTATATAATTTGTTCTGTGTTTTCTTATTCTTTTGATCATGATGAAAGAAATAGCTTAATCCTTGCTACGTTCAAAGTTCTTGCCTTAATAAAGAGCGTGTTATCTTCATAGAATGACACATAACACACACTATATTATGGAAAGAAGTTTGAACGTAGCGAGGATTAAGCTATTTCTTTCATCATGATCAAAAGAATAAGAAAACATATGAAACTATATAGAATATGTAAGATCTCTTCTCTGCAAATTGGCTGTTTGATAGACTAGTATATCTTCTATACACTCAGTGATCGGGTTATTTCTGCACAATAAAGTAAATGTATTAACAAAAGATAGTGAGCAGAAAAAATTATTTACACAAATAATTTTTCGTTCACCTCAATGGCATAATCACAACATTATCGAACCAATACACCTCCCCACAATAGAAGATCACTAGTCTTCTACTGTGTCCGCCAAAAAGATCAAAAAAACGTATAATAATGTCTTATACCTATTTTCAAAAAAATTTCGCCGAAGTAGTCTTCTGTTTCGGGGCGATCGTCTATTATGGGGTGGTCTTCTATTCTGAGAGGAGATTTACATATCACTTAATATACTGCACAAAAGAAGAAAAAATTCGCATGTGCAGATTATCGCTCGTTCATTTTAATATTCAATCGGATGAAAGTTCATATAATCTCATTAACGTGGACGGGACTTTTCGACTCATTATTTTCGTTTAGCAAATCAAAAATTTCAATTTTGGGTAACACCAGCATCAAGCCATTTTTGAATTCTCAAATTTTTTACTTAGTCTTTGCTTGGCATTCTTATTAGGAAAAATGTGCCTAATCAGAACGGAGCTAATCAAACTACTGCTGATTACTCCTTTGTTTAACTACATACATCTATGCTTATAGACTTCATAGATTTCAAAGCTTCATTATCGATTAATGTTTGATGGTGTTTTGCGTTTAAATTCTTTTCGTCTTGAGCAAAATAAATAAAAAAACGCTACTATTTATTGTAAATGTTGATAATGAATAGATTAAATTTTAAATATTGACGTTTTTTACAAAAATTTCGTATTTCTGAGAGAGGAGCCTTAAATTTTATTGAGGCTATGCACTCCACATCTAATAGTCATGATACCAGTTGTTCTGTTGACCGAGTCAATCTTTCTTTATGACTCTAATACAATTAAATCGAGATAGCCTTGAATTTCTCTTCAAGACTCGATAAATACTTGATACAGTATTTACGCTCCCTCTCTGGCAATAAATTGTTATTAGCAATAATGATAACTCAATAAGCGATAAACATTATGCGAAAGATTGAAAAATCGACTTTTTTAGCGTTTGAAGTTTCAAAGTGAAGTGCATACATAGGTCGATTAAGAAATTATTTTACGGTAAAGAAAAGCTCCGTAACTTAAAAGGTCCGTTTTTATTAGGCACGTTTACTCTATTGAAGACTGGTCTTTAGCTTTGAATATCGTGCAAAAGCTCAACTTTTACGGGAAGAATGAGTTTCAACCTTTTCTACTCTCTAAAAAAAATGGTTTATTACGAAACTTAAAAGGGTATAGAGAATCGCAACCATTTCTATACCCTTTTAAGTTTCGTACGAACCTGGCTTCCGGCGTTCAGCTACGAAACCTCTATTTTTTTATTGACAAAAAGGTCTCATACAACAGGTTTCGTATTAAACCCTAGCAAAAAAGGTTTCGTACAAACTTGATCATCATATTTCGGCTACCTCTCAATTTCTTCAATCAGATCTTCTGTAATTATGATTCTTAGCTAGCCATTTTATGTAGTTTTGTAAAGCTCTCCCTTGCGGACTGTATATCGATAGTAACCGCAAGTATATTACAGACAGATTTTTCCATTTAATCTCTACAATTCATGCAGAAAAATTCAATATTTAATTGGAAATGATATTAAAGGTCTAAGTAGAGTCGTTTCCATGCAGAGCTTGGCAAGTCAAGACAAAAACGCCTCTATTCCAAGTCAAGTCAGACTTGACTGACTTGAAGAATCTTTTCGTTGACTGAGACTTGAAAAAATCCTGACTTGTCCAGTTCTGCGTGATACAAAAGCAGGGAAAAAACAAGCTTCGAATAAATACCAGTATACGATTACAATAATGGTACAAAACGTCTGAAGTTCGATATTGATATTAACTACAGAACGCGACATTGAACACATACAAAAAGAGAGTGAATGAATACCTCACACAATGAGAGAGAGAGAGAGAGATGAATTATGATTGGAAGAATAGGTCATATTTCGTTACACACTCGGAGTCATTGTTATTACAGGTCGGTGACCTCTGATGACTCTCACTTTTCGTGAATAAACAATCTTAGAATCTTAGAATTAGTCATTGTGCTCGGTTGTGCATTAAATTTAGATCAGTTGTAAATTAAAAAAAGCAATTAGTCATCTATTGATTATTCTTCACAATAGTGATCTTGTAAAAAGAAGAGAATCGATGTCGACAAGAACCTAGAACGTAATTAATAGAAATATGGTCACAAGCTTTTGCACCAGATTCTTCAGAATCAAAATCACTATAATTACTCTACATTTGGTTTTGGATTTTATTTGTGATCATTAAAGTTTCAATTTTTCCTACTTCTTTCAAAGGTGATCTACATACAATCGTCGATTTCATCATATGACACATATAACAAGAGAGAACTTACGAAAAGAATAAAAATTTTCTATGTTAAAAATCAAATCTACTATTTCATACATTTGTACACCTATTAGTATTGGCGCCTATTACAAAAACTTTCGTCTTTTCATTTATCATTGCTGAGAACTCAACCGATGCATATTTATCACCAAGGTACTAAAAGGCCAAGCAGTGACGCATAGAGATTTTTCACAGGGTAGTCCTTACATGGTTCGGCTGAAAACTGGTTATCGATTCGTCAAAACATACTTTTATGTCGCTGGATAACTACAATATCACGGAATATTTTAGAAACGATAATCCATATTAAACTATTGCAAGATTGTTGTTGATAACATCTCTCTCCATCATTTAAGCAAAAAATCCTTTAGTATTTTATATCCGAAACCGTCACGTTTATAGTATTCAACCAAGCTTAGATATCTGTAACAATAATGAACAGATGAAACTGAAGTTTGTAATCAAATCTTATTTTTCTAAAAGTAGGTTATAGAAAAAGTATGACATGTCAGCAGCTGTTTACACATCATTCAACGACATGTGGCCTCAAGGAAATACTCGTATCTGCATAGGTGCATGTAATACAATCAAAGAACCGAAATTATTAAGTATAGAACAAAGGCTGGGGTACGTTAAGTACCAGAAAGCGTTTAAAAAGTAGTTAAAAAGCAACTTTTTGATTTTTTTCAATCATATTTGCGTATTTTGCGTAAAATGGTCGTTTCGAGTTTATCATCATGCAGTATAATTTTATGTATGAGAAAACGTTCAACATATACGATGGAATTTATTAAATATTTTATTTTTTTTATTCATACTCACATTAATTTGTAAAATAAAATACGAATAGAACTGCTAGCATCAGAGAGAAACTTAACTGTGTAAGGGCAGCACCACTAATTAATGATCTAACTTCATTCGAATGAATTATTTTAACTCCTTGGCGTTTCATATAGGCAATTTGAGCTTGAACGGATGCGTTTGTAACACCTCGACATGCATCTTCAACAACGTATGTTGCATAGTTTAAATCATTAGCATCTAACGCTGTATATGCAACACAGTAATCGGTAGCTAAACCGACAACAAACACTCGTGTTACGTTACGTTGCCGTAGTATATCATCGAGTTCAGTTTTATAAAGTTTTTGGTTATCGTAAAATGCCGAATAACTATCGAGATCTGGATCTATACCTTTTCTGACGTGAAAAATTTCACCTTTCAATGTTGTTTGAACGAGTGAGGCATGTAAATTGGCATCTCCAGTATTCTGCACGCAGTGAGTCGGCCATAGCATTTGCTCCGTTTCGACTTTTGGACCCGTATAAGTGACAACTTGATACGGTTGATCCGGAACTTTCGTACCGGGTTTGATGTACTGTCGACGATCATTTAAATTATTAAAAAAAGAAATATGATTCGACGGATGCCAGTCATGTGAATAAACAACCAAGTCAAATGGTATAGTTTTCAAAAGATTATTGATGATAGGAATAACATCTGCAGGGCTATGAGGAAGAGCAAGACTTCCGCTGATGAAACAATTCTGAACGTCGATAACGAGAAGCGCATTTACAGTTCGTTTGGCAGTACCAGCTGAAGAAGAAATGAACAAAAAATTATCATTCAAGCGTAACAGAGAAAACAAAACTCGAACACGAATATTTTTCATCACTACAACTGATAATAAGCAAAATTTTGCTCATCACAGATCCTTCGTTCAATGGCGTCCGTCTCCTCCTTAGATTATGGGACAAGTAGTTCCCTATCGGTATTATTTCCCTGCACATTCTGCTGCACTTGGTTCAAAGGCATATCTAGACATAAACAGGTGAAAACATGTTCTGTTTGAACACATAGAAATGTACCAGAAGATAGTTGATTTGCAACTGAATATTGGCCATAAGATGAGGCAAACACTAATGTGATAGCAAGGATGAAGTACATGATTATGTTGTTACTGATATTAGAAAATGAGGCGAATGTATACGTAAAAGGAGAGTGTAGGCCTCTAGATATGTATGAAGTAAATCGTTTGATGAAATATAGATCAATAACAAATATTTCGACACAATAAAATAGTTATTTTTTCTTGATACTCGTTATTCATAGAAAATATAATACTTTTGTTCCCAATATTTAAAATTTTATTACGATCTCGTTAGATGAACGAACATGTACGATGAAAGTTGGATTCAGCGAAACATTCGATAAAAATCTATTTGTTAAAACTTAAATTCAGAAATATATGCTTGACAAAGTGTTGCATAACATTAAAAAGAGAATTCATTGACGAATATCTATATATTTACCTATATACTTATATATTTTCACGTGAACAACAGGCTCTATGTAAATAACAACACTTTTCTTTTTTATCTTTTTTTATGTAGTTTATATATAAAGACCGTTACCTGTGCAGAGTGACGTTACTCTTCCTTCGTTCTTTCTCCTTCATAGTAGTCGGAATGTATACGTCACAACACACATACACAAAGAGTATATACATATCAAAATTAAACCGAATAATTCTAGAGAAGTGACCCTCGCGATTTTATATATTCGGAATTAGCACGACGGGTTATTAAGTTTGTTGTAAGGCGCAAAGATCTCGTCGGGATCCCGACATTTTTTGGATCCGGTGGTTCCGCTGAAGGTTTCCACAGTATATTACATTATACTCAACAGCAAGCATCAAACACACTTCCGTTACTTTTCTTTTCTTTGATCTTTATTTTTCTTCCGCTTCATATACTCCTCTTATATTCTCGTATATATGTGTGTTTGACGTTCTATTTCCTAAAGAGCAAATAAAGGAAGGGAAAAACTTTTATACTATTTAACGAGATGTTCATTTCTTCTATCTTCAGCGCTCACTGTGCATTTATTCTATAGTCTACCAACTTTTCAGATTTCCACTTTTTATATTGGTCTGAAGTGCACAAGTTGTTGAGATAAAACATCAAAATATAGTAAAAACCAAAATTTCGTGCTTTTTCTTCCATAACTCGAAAAATCTATAAGCTATTGCAGCCATCTAAAAGCATTTCAAAAATTTCCTTCAATGGAAACTAAAAGCTTGTGTTTTATCGACTTTAAGCTGTATGAGGCTGTCACTCTCTTCCTGGTCTATATAATCGACAGGTATTCGGTGAAAATAGTATATTTTCTTCTCTTATATTCAGTTTAACAAAACGACCTCTATAACCTAGTCACTTAGAACCACTTTTTCTCTCGAATTTGTATTGATAACAAAAAGTTAGTAAGAAAGTCAGTTTATCAGTGTTTCCAAGAAACTTCCTGAAGAACCTGCAGAATCCTTGGATGAATGTCTTACTGTCATAGATTCTGACAGCAGACATCTTGGAGTGTATAATAATGTGCTTTGCTCAAGATTTTTTGACTTTTTTACAAAAAATTCGTATTTCCGAGAAGGGAGTATTAAATTTTATTTAGTCGATATACTCCAAATCTATGACTACGTCTGTTGCAAAATTAAATTAGCTAAAGAGGATCCATTTTCACTTTTTATACTAGCCTGAAGTACACTAGAAGTTGTGCTGCATATTGATGTATGTTCCAGAAAAAGATCCCTTTTAGTTTTTAAGATATCTGCCTCTCAATACTGATGATTAAAAACTCATACTTTCTTATTTTATACTCAGAAGTTAGATAAACTCTTTTTGATTACCATAACTTTCCGATTTTCTCTTCGAATCGTGATAGTGAGATGAAGTGTTAGCAATTTACTGACCATACTTGTCTTGTTCTCTGTGCGTAACGCTAATCAGTAAGAATGAAGTAAGTTTAATACGACGAAATTAAAAAAAGCAAAATAATCAGAGAGATAGTGAATAAACACAAAACAAAAATTATTTTTGTAATTTGGTTATGTTATGCAGGGTACGAATATTAATATTTGAAACTTGAATTGGATTTGCAGTTTCCTGGTCGGACGATCTAAGCGTTTTAACGGCTAGCTGTGAAGAAATTATTCGAATCATTTTATGATCGGTGCGTGGGAGTGATTTTATGACTATAATAAAGTTTAATCAAAATAACCTAGAATTTCTCTGCAAGACTCAGTAAAATACTTGACTGAATCCAAAATATCCAAAAAAGAAAAGGTCCATGGAGAAAAATTGAGAGTATTACATGGAGTAACAGCTGACCACACGAAGTCAGCACTATTAGATAAAAACAGATTACTTTACAATCTTTCTAATCGGATTCTGGATGAAAACGAAATGAAATTATTATGCCGAGGATGGAAATTTTGTGTAGGTAATAAAGTAACAAAAACATTGGATTTAAAAACCGATATAGAACACGGCATGTATCATATAAAAGAACTAAATAAGGAAAGAAAATCAATTAAGTGGGAGTTGTTATACGATGACGTGAAAATTAAAGCACAAAATTTGTTATATCAGGTGTCTCACAAACGTATATCTAATTTATCAAAAAGTGAGATTGATGCAATGAGAAAGCTGGAAAATGATAAAACAATAGTTCTGTTGAAAGCAGACAAAGGAAATGCCATTGTCATCATGAACAAAAAGGATTATTATAGTAAAGTTATTGATATGTTAGACGAGCCTAAAAAATTCAGCAGTAGTTTAGTTGATGATACATTAGCTGAGGAGAATAAAATTAATAATCGATTAAAGCAGCTGAAAGAAAAAAAAATTGATCAAAAAACGTATGATCGAATTTTCGTCAGCGGTTGTACGATATCGTACTTATATTGAACAGTGAAAGTACATAAAATCCATTATCCTTTAAGACCTATGATTTCCACATGCAATGCCCCATGTTATCGTTTGTCGAAGTATTTAGTGGAGTTATTAAAATCGTGCGAGAATAATTCGAAATCGTTTGTAAAAGATTCATTCGACTTAGGGAACGTTTCAAAATGTATTCCGGTCGGTCGGTCGCTATTCCTCAATTCCGCTATTCCCCGACTATTCCTCTCTTATTCCTCTGTCATTCCTCCATTCCGCTCTACCTCTATTCCCCAATTATTTCTCTATTATAGAATTTAAATTCTAATTTATTTTATTTTATTTTGTATAGTTCGGTTTCTTTGATTGTATTGTTGATAC